TTTCACGAGCCTAAATAATGCTCGAGAATAGCTCAGAATCCATCAGTTCCCCCCACTCCAGGCAGGAGGCCTAGATAGTGATGGTTAATGAAAGATGGGACCGCCTATCTCCAGTACATTTACAGATCCCGCGCACAGTAAAAATAAGTTATCAACAGACAAGTTAGTACACCACGTGACTCGCTCTGAAGGAACACAGACACGGGGTAAGAATTAACTGGGAATTACAAATACGACTTCCACACACTGGACCCCGACCGTCCAAGTGGTTGGGGCACCATTCCTTCCCCCATCCCATCCCAAATCCTTATCCTGACCCCTTCCCAGTGCAATATAGTCGTAATGGCTTAGCGCTTTTCCTTGATAACTCCTCCACACCCTGGAACGGACAATGAAGTAGGCTTATAGACACATACACATTAAAATAAAGCACTTGAAACTTATCCTACTTGCACAAACAAACACTATACTTAAAGCTAGTATCTACATAGCTCACTGGAGATTGGACTAGCATCTCCTCCGTGCCCCGGGGGACGAATGAAGGGGAAGCATTGTTTGTTGTTTTAGGTTTAGCTACTCGGAACGAAGTGTCCATGTAGCACGGGCTATAGTGAGCCCGTAAAGGGGAAGCATTGATTGATTGATTGATGAAGATTAAGCCACCCAAAAGGTGGCACGGGCATGAATAGCCCGTAAGTGGTGGCCCTTTTGAGCCATTACCAGTATCAAGAGCTGATACTGGAGATCTGTGGAGGGGAGGGGAAGCATGGGGGGGTCTTGCTTATATGGGCACGGGAGCGTGTTCGAGCTACAATGCGTTCGGACGCGGTCCTAGTTAGTAATTAAAATACTAGTCCCTATTCCTAATCTTTTTCTTAGAACTGTTAAGCAGATCTAAGCTAGTAATTTTAGTAACAATCATTTAACACAATGGAGCTAACTATTAACAATAGCCTATTAACACATATAATTTAACACATAAACATTACACAGGAACCGTGGTGGCCTGGCTCACTCGAGGGTTGCCAGATGCATGATAAAACATTCAATTCTCTGTTAGAAAGTAAAACCCAACTCTCACAATGGTTAACAAAATGAATTCCTAATTACATACAATGGTTATCTTTACTGACACTAATAGGTAAATCATAAACCTTACAATTAACCCGAAGGGAAACAGCATGACACAGCCGCGATGTTAGAAACTAAGTTATCTACATTATTTGTATTACATCATAAGAGTCAAACTAACACTGGGAAGCTCAACCTAGTTGACCTTAATCCGCCATTAAGTATTAATAATCCAACTGGATTCCTGGTAACATCTCTCAGGTTCCAGTAATTCAATATTACTAATAATTAGTGCTTCCCATTTTCTTTGACTTCGTAATCCCGACTCCGACCTCAGGTCATGCCGCTTAAGCCGCTACAATACATATAACTACACTACACTTATTCTAATACATTAATGCATTTAGGTTCTTCCTACCCACATGGAATATAAGATAAGATACAACAATAAGGCAACGCCTAACAATTTATTTCCTCTTAATTCCTACTTCTGCTTCTAATTAAAGATACGAGTCCGTTATTCTTACAACTGGGAATAACGGATTCGTAAGTGTTCTCCTGGCTCGTTATCTGTGGGGGGTGTTCTCCTGGCTCGTTATCACTTGTTGTGTTCAGAATATTGAAATACAGATAATTGAAAGATAAATTAATAGATAACAAAATCAGAAGTAACACCAATAAATTAGGTATCAAAATAAATTGCAATTAAACTTGCAACCCGGTGTTGGTGTCAGCTAGGGTGTGGCTGGTGTCAGCTATGGTGTTGCAAGTGTCAGCTATGGTGTTGCAAGTGTCAGCTAGGGTGTTGCAAGTGTCAGCTATAGTGTTGCAAGCGTCAGCTAGGGTGTTGCTTGTCTCAGCTAAGCTGTTGCAAGTGTCAGCTAAGGTGTTGCAAGTGTCAGTTATGGTGTTGCAAGTGTCAGCTAAGGTGTTGCAAGTGTCAGCTATGGTGTTGCAAGTGTCAGCTATGGTGTTGCAAGTGTCAGCTATGGTGTTGCAAGTGTCAGCTATGGTGTTGCAAGTGTCAGCTATGGTCTTGCAAGTGTCAGCTATGGTGTTGCAAGTGTCAGCTATGGTGTTGCAAGTGTCAGCTATGGTGTTGCAAGTGTCAGCTATGGTGTTGCAAGTGTCAGCTATGGTGTTGCAAGTGTCAGCTAGGGTGTTGCAAGTGTCAGCTATGGTGTTGCAAGTGTCAGCTAGGGTGTTGCAAGTGTCAGCTATAGTGTTGCAAGTGTCAGCTATAGTGTTGCAAGTGTCAGCTATAGTGTTGCAAGTCTCAGCTAGGGTGTTGCTTGTCTCAGCTAAGCTGTTGCAAGTGTCAGCTAAGGTGTTGCAAGTGTCAGTTATGGTGTTGCAAGTGTCAGTTATGGTGTTGCAAGTGTCAGCTAAGGTGTTGCAAGTGTCAGCTAAGGTGTTGCAAGTGTCAGCTAAGGTGTTGCAAGTGTCAGCTAAGGTGTTGCAAGTGTCAGCTAAGGTGTTGCAAGTGTCAGTTATGGTGTTGCAAGTGTCAGTTATGGTGTTGCAAGTGTCAGTTATGGTGTTGCAAGTGTCAGTTATGGTGTTGCAAGTGTCAGTTATGGTGTTGCAAGTGTCAGTTATGGTGTTGCAAGTGTCAGTTATGGTGTTGCAAGTGTCAGTTATGGTGTTGCAAGTGTCAGTTATGGTGTTGCAAGTGTCAGTTATGGTGTTGCAAGTGTCAGTTATGGTGTTGCAAGTGTCAGTTATGGTGTTGCAAGTGTCAGTTATGGTGTTGCAAGTGTCAAGTGTCAGTTATGGTGTTGCAAGTGTCAGTTATGGTGTTGCAAGTGTCAGTTATGGTGTTGCAAGTGTCAGCTATGGTGTTGCAAGTGTCAGCTATGGTGTTGCAAGTGTCAGCTATGGTGTTGCAAGTGTCAGCTATGGTGTTGCAAGTGTCAGCTATGGTGTTGCAAGTGTCAGCTATGGTGTTGCAAGTGTCAGCTATGGTGTTGCAAGTGTCAGCTATGGTGTTGCAAGTGTCAGCTATGGTGTTGCAAGTGTCAGCTATGGTGTTGCAAGTGTCAGCTATGGTGTTGCAAGTGTCAGCTATGGTGTTGCAAGTGTCAGCTATGGTGTTGCAAGTGTCAGCTATGGTGTTGCAAGTGTCAGCTATGGTGTTGCAAGTGTCAGCTAGGGTGTTGCAAGTGTCAGCTATGGTGTTGCAAGTGTCAGCTAGGGTGTTGCAAGTGTCAGCTAGGGTGTTGCAAGTGTCAGCTAGGGTGTTGCAAGTGTCAGCTAGGGGGTTGCTGGTGTCAGCTAGGGGGTTGCTGGTGTCAGCTAGGGGGTTGCTGGTGTCAGCTAGTGCGTTGCTGGTGTCAGCTAGTGCGTTGCTGGTGTCAGCTAGTGCGTTGCTGGTGTCAGCTAGTGCGTTGCTGGTGTCAGCTAGTGCGTTGCTGGTGTCAGCTAGTGCGTTGCTGGTGTCAGCTAGTGCGTTGCTGGTGTCAGCTAGTGCGTTGCTGGTGTCAGCTAGTGCGTTGCTGGTGTCAGCTAGTGCGTTGCAGGTGTCAGCTGGGGTGTTGCAGGTGTCAGCTGGGGTGTTGCTGGTGTCAGCTGGGGTGATGCTGGTGTCAGCTGGGGTGATGCTGGTGTCAGCTGGGGTGATGCTGGTGTCAGCTGGGGTGATGCTGGTGTCAGCTGGGGTGTTGCTGGTGTCAGCTGGGATGTTGCTGGTGTCAGCTAGGATGTTGCTGGTGTCAGCTAGGATGTTGCAAGTGTCAGCTAGGGTGTTGCTGGTGTCAGCTAGGATGTTGCTGGTGTCAGCTAGGGTGTTGCTGGTGTCAGCTAGGATGTTGCTGGTGTCAGCTAGGGTGTTGCATGTGAAAATTACACTAAATTTCAAATACACTAAACTAAAAAACTAAGCTTCACTAAGAGTGAACAAAGAGAGGGAAAACTAGTGAAAGGGGGGGGGTGGAGGCGCCCCTTCACCCCTTCATCACCCTTCCCCTTACCAGAGGTGACGAAGGTGTTGAAGGGGGGGGGGGAGTGAGGGGCGGGGAGGACGAGAGGGAAGCCAGCGGTGCCCGAGGAAGTGTTGAAGGTTACGGAGATGATGGTGACGATAGTGTGTGTGTAGTGAAGATGGTTACAGTGAGGAGGAAGATAGTGTTAGTGAAGATGGTTACAGTGAGGAAGATAGTGTTAGTGAAGATGGTTACAGTGAGGAAGATAGTGTTAGTGAAGATGGTTACAGTGAGGAAGATAGTGTGTAGTGAAGATGGTTACAGTGAGGAAGATAGTGTGTAGTGAAGATAGTTACAGTGAGGAAGATAGTGTACAGTGAAGATGGTTACAGTGAGGAAGATAGTGTATAGTGAAGATGGTTACAGTGAGGAAGATAGTGTATAGTGAAATGGTTACAGTGAGGAAGATAGTGTATAGTGAAGATGGTTACAGTGAGGAAGATAGTGTTAGTGAAGATGGTTACAGTAAGGAGGAAGATAGGGTAGTGAAGATGGTTAGTCTCTATCACCCGAGGACCACTGGTCAACCCCCCCCCCTCCATCCTGACGGGACTGGGAAGATGGGGAGAGAAGTGTGGGGGGGAGGCGGGAGAGAGACCCGGGCGCAGCCGGGTACCATTGTTGTTGTTGTTGTTGTTGAAGATTCAGCTGCTGGGAACCAAAAGTTGCAAGTAGCACGGGCTATGGTGAGCCCGTAGTGGACTTGCCTGCCACAGGAACGGGGACTGTGACTGTGAGGCCGGGTACCCCTCCTGGTATAATATATAGGAGTACCACCTCTGATGCAACTGTAGGGACCCATAGCCTCGGGGAAGAGAATAAAAGACACGCAGAGGAGACCTTGGAGATTAGCCTTAACTTCGGGTATTTTGTTTTTCAACTCCTATTTTTTGGAGGTGACTTCTCACCTGAATCCATTTCACCCGTTGGTATGGACAACGGGGGAAGATGAGGCGGCTAGTTATTACTCTCGTGCTGCAGTTATTCACATTTACTATCCTCAATGTTGACATTAATTTAAGAACAACCACTTGTGTCTATTTTCCTCCTAATCCCTCTGACTTCACATCCCCCTCTTCTCTCAGGTACGAGCGAGGGGGGAAGCGGAGGCGGCAACGACTGTTAGAAGTGGGCGGGGCCGGGAGTGGTGACGTCACAGACTCCTCCTCCGTAAGTGATGACGTCAGTGGGGGCGCGGGAAGCGGCCGTGGTGACAGGAGAAGCTCGGGGCGGCGCAAGAGACCTTCCTCGTCGGCAAGGGAGAGAAATTTGCGACGTCTGGAGAGTAACGAGAGGGAGAGGATGAGGATGCATTCCCTCAATGACGCCTTCCAGGTAGGTAGATGCAGTGGGGACCACCTGGACTGGTTGGTAGAACGACTACCTTGAGTCCTGCAGGATCGGCGTTCGATCCCCGGTGGCCTGAGTGGGTTAACACCATTACTTCGCCCTGTCCTCATATTCCAGCTTAGCGCTTTCCCCTCGTAATTACCTTACCTTTCAAGCCACTATTCTGTTTGCTGTGAGCTGCTGTTTGACACGTTGGGATACAGCTTATATTTGAAGGTTGACTTCAACTCACAATGAGCATAGTGAGTTGATGCCCTCATCAATGTGTTGACAGACCATCACTCTGACTTTTGAAGCCTCTTCAGTGCGATAGACAGTATTACATAATTATACAGGCGTATATTGTAGTGTAGTCTGTATAGCTTCTTTCTAATACGTAGGTATGGTATAATCTTGCTTCCACCTGTCTGGTAGTTCTCTCTAAGGTTAAGCAAGGTAGGTTGTCATAGGAGGGTTACTCAGAGCCTCACCTTTGATATGTTTAGATCTTTAAGCTGCTCAGTTACCTTACCTTGAGGTTACCTTACCTTGAGGTTACCTTGAGGTGCTTCCGGGGCTTAGCGTCCCCGCTGCCCGGTCGTCGACCAGGCCTCCTGGTTGCCGGACTGATCAACCAGGCTGTTGGACGCGGCTGCTCGCAGCCTGACGTACGAGTCACAGCCTGGTTGATCAGTACCTGATGTTCTGGGCCAGGAATCAAGCCTTTAATTAATCACTTACGAGACCTGTACATCTTTCCTGGGGCTGTGACGATCTCTGTCTGGAAGCCGTAGGTGCGGAAGCGGGTCGTCCACCTCCTGGGGCTCGTGCGGCCCCCCAGGCTCTGCTTCAGGAGGCTGGGGTCGTTCTTGCCCTTGCTGGGATGGTTCTTCTCCGGCCCCGACCACGGCGGTCTCCGGGTTTGGAGTCCCTGTGTCTTCTTTCACCAACTCCGAGGTCAACCCCGGAGCCGGAGCCCCTTGGGCAGCTCGTTGTTGCCTTCAACCTCGTTCTGACAGTTACTGCGACGGCGCTGGAACCAATCGTATTAGCGTTTGCCTTTCCGTTGGAGACTTTCGGCACCGTGGAGAGAAGAGACCTGCTGCATGGGTGGCAGCTTCTCCACCGTATCAACCTACCCTGGCTTTGCGCCCTGGTGAGGCCACTCCAGACCGACAACCAGAGCGCATCTCCATAGTCTCCTGAGACTGACGGATGCCTACTAAATTGTCTTAGTATTTGTGTACTGGCCATTTCTTTCAGTTCATTCACTTTGTTGGAAACATCATCCACATTAATATCGTGTACCAGATCTTGCGACTGCTCTTTGTCGTTTTCTTTGTTGAGTTCCCTCTTGAACTCTTGTTCATTGGGGGAAGTAAGAGGTGGAATTGAGCTTTAATGAAAAAAATGAAGAGGAGGAACAGAAATAGAGGTAGAAGAGATTTAGAGTGGAAGTGGATATGAGTTATGGGCTTAGGGTTTAGGAGGTGAAGGATTGGAAAGAGGAAGTGATATTAGTGGGAAGAAGACGACAACTATCTGGAGAAAGCACAAAGTCATTACGGCTATATTGCACTTCGATGGTATTAGGATAAGGATATGGGATGGGACAGGAAGAAGTAATGGCGCCCAACTACTTGAACGGTCGAAGGATTGAACCCCGACCTGCACGAAGCTCTGAAACTATCACTCTACCGTCCAGCCCCAAGTAGCTGGGCGTGATGATAGTAGGAGGAACAAAGACGATGGAGATCATGTCCCTTTTATTTATATAACACCCGATTTAAGCATGTCTGGTGTTCACACCCTCATGCTCCGTTTCCCCTCACTCTCTCTGCCTCATAACCTTCCCCTCATGCCTCTTTCCTCATACTTCCTACCTCATGCCTCCTTCCTCATACTTCCTACCTCATGCCTCCTTCCTCATACTTCCTACCTCATGCCCTCTTGATCGAAATGTTAGTACTTGTATCGTGTCCAAGGGTGCTTCCTTCCCGCCTAAAGTGTAATAGTGTTGGTTCAGACAGAAGTAAACAACATTAGTATGTGAGAAAATCCAGATGTTGTGTTATGGGAGAACACTTCCGTCGTTGGTCTCCCCAGACACCAGAACCCCTCAAGACCAGGGACGCCAGCTCGATCCCGTTACATTACCCGCAATACATTTTCTCATGGATACATTACATTTGTGTGTGTGTGTGTGTGTGTGTGTGTGTGTGTGTGTGTGTGTGTGTGTGTGTGTGTGTGTGTGTGTGTGTGTGTGTGGTTTCATTGTACAATCATTTTACGTCTCTGTAGCTAGACGCAGCGCTATCACCAACACGCAATCGACGTCACACTCATAAAGTATCTACCACGATCGACGTCTCTTTGAGAATATATATCTCTTACCTGGCACCACTGGACCACTTTCCTCTTGCGATATCTCCTGGTGTCAGCCGTATATATCCGCCTCGCAGCTCCCAAAGAACTGATATTCTCTCACAGAAGGTACCTCGCCTCCGCGGCTCTAACATATTGCAGATTATAGGCGCCCGGGAGAGGACACCTCCGCCTGCACAACCCGAGCACAACTCCATAGTTTCCCGAGGCTGCAGGAGGCCTATCGTGTGTGTGTGGGTGTGTGTGTGTGGTGTGTGTGTGTGTGTGTGTGTGTGTGTGTGTGTGTGTGTGTGTGTGTGTGTGTGTGTGTGTGTGTGTGTGTGTGTGTGTGTGTGTGTGTATATATGTGTATGTGTATTCCATGTTATGGTGATCGCCTTGCAATGCAAAATAGCAATCATTGTGATAGGAAGTCAGAAGTTATGCTAGTCTGTCAGTCAGTAACTGTCAAGCAAATGTAAGTGGGATGGACTGACTGATTTTAACATATTTTCACTCAGAAAATATGTTAAAATCGAATGTTGAAGACGTCCCTCCCCGAAAATCCGCAGAGTTAATTACGGACGTCATCTGCTATCCTACGGACTCGCCATAGCCCGTGCTACTCGGAACTTTTTGTTCCGGGTAGCGAATCTTAAACATCATCATCTTAGGGCCTATACCCAAGGGTCTAGCTTAGGGCCTACCTTAGGGTCTACCTTAGGGTCTACCTTAGGGTCTACCTTAGGGCCTACCTTAGGGCCTACTGAATTTTGCAAGGTTATTATGGCCACAACAAAATCTTATTTACCAATTTGCAAGTATAAATTCATTCTGAATATAGTCGAGGAGAAGAGTAAGCTCTCCGTGTGTAGGCCTAGGTTGCTGCCTTAACAATCAACAACAAATTATTATTATTATTATTAAAATGATTATAAATCCAAATAATTACCAACTGAACTCAAATAGCCAAACTGACTTATCCTGGAACAAACAGCGAGCAACAAAAATGTGGCCTGAAACTAGATTCCATTTGATAATGGTCCAGAACGAGCCGAAACGTTGTCACTTCTTTCACCTCCGGCCGACCGGCTCTGGGGAGCCGGTAGGCCGAGCGGACAGCACGCTGGACTTGTGATCCTGTGGTCCTCGGTTCGATCCCAGGCGCCGGCGAGAAACAATGGGCAGAGTTTCTTTCACCCTATGCCCCCTGTTACCTAGCAGTAAAATAGGTACCTGGGTGTTAGTCAGCTGTCACGGGCTGCTTCCTGGGGGTGGAGGCCTGGTCGAGGACTGGGCCGCGGGGACACTAAAAAGCCCCGAAATCATCTCAAGATAACCTCAAGATAACCTCCAGATCTATGGCCTGGGGGCCTAACCCATCTTAGGCCCAACTGTACACACAAGTAAAACTAAACACAGAATTATAATTCCTCATCTGGTTGTATCTGGGCCATCTTATACTCTGAAACGGTTTGGTGCCTTCTTTTGATAATTACTTACTTATACTCTGAAAGTCTCTGTGGTGCAGTGGTAAGACACTCGCCTGGCGTTCCGCAAGCGCTCTGTCATGGGTTCGTATCCTGGCCGGGAAGGATTTACTGGGCGCAAATCCTTAACTGTAACCTCTGTTTAACTCAACAGTAAAATGAGTACTTGGTTGTAACAACGATTCTTCGCGGCGGGGATCGTATTCCAAGGACCTGCCCGAAACGCTACGCGTACTAGTGGCTGTACAAGAATGTAACAACTCTTGAATATATCTAAAAAAAAAAAAAATGCAACAGTATCCTTAAGTGCAGTTCTTTCATATACACCTGGAATGTTGTTGTGGATGGTTCATACACTTAGACTGGTCGGTATAGTGGTGGCCTCGTCTGTTGCAGGGGAGAAGCCTCGCTTCTTGCAGGGGAGAAGCCTCGCTTCTTGGAGCAAGGCTGACAAAGAGAGCAAAAGGCCATCAGTGAAATAGAGAGAAATCCGAAATATTTTTTCTCCTATGCAAAATCAAGATCAAAATCCACATCTAGTATCGGGCCCCTGCGAAAGGGAGATGGAACTTTCACCGATGACAACAAAGAAATGAGCGAGTTACTGAGGAAGCAGTACGACTCTGTTTTCAGCGAGCCACTAAACACGCTAAAGATTGATAACCCAAATGAATTTTTCATGGATATGATACCAACATCAAATCATATATCAAACGTCACCCTGTCCCCACTGGATTTTGAAGAAGCCATAGACAGTATGCCTATGCACTCTGCACCAGGCCCTGATTCTTAGAACTCTATATTCATCAAGAACGGTAAAAAACCACTATCACAGGCTCTTCACATTCTTTGGAGACAAAGCCTAGATACTGGCGTTATCCCTGACATACTAAAAACAGCAGAGATAGCACCACTCCATAAAGGAGGAAATAAGGCAGAGGCAAAAAATTACAGACCGGTAGCACTAACATCACACATCATAAAATCCTTGAGAGAGTGCTAAGAAGTAAGATCACAAAATACATGGAATCACAGCATCTCCATAACCCCGGACAAAATTATTTCAGAACAGGGCGCTCTTGCCTGTCACAGTTGCTGGACCACTATGACATGGCATTAGATGCCATGGAGGACAAACAAAACGCCGATGTA